CTGATTATGATGATGATGGTGAGGCTGGTGGTGGTGATGATGATAATTATGATGATCACGATGACGATGATGATGCTACTGATGCGAGTTCTATGAGTTTCTAAATGGGTGCTGGGGCAGGGAATCGGAATGTGAGGATGAGTCGGATGCAGAGGAGGGATAGCAGGATACAGAGGAGGATGCGGGGGAGGGGGAGAAGGCGGCGGAGGGGAATACTGATATTGGCTTCATGTTTTTAGATCGTTCGAGGGGGTTCTAGGGGCTTCACGGTGTTTCAGGGTTCAGGGCGATCTTAGGCGGCACATGGGTTCGGAGGATAATGAGGCGAGGGAGGGGGAAGACACGTATTGAAGCTGCCTACGGCGAGTCACCGCCGCCCCCTGCCTTCTAAAATCGTCCATGTGGCCGAGCGTTGTGGCAAGAACTCCGCCAAGCTATCGGACTATCTGTTCCCCCAACCGTTGTGGAAACCCTTCGGGGAACACTTGGGGGAGGATGGCGGGGAAGATCAGGAGGAGGCGGAGGAGGTGGAGGAGGAGGAGGAGAAGGAGAAGGGGGAGGAGGAAGGGGCATCTTGGGAGCCTCCGGGGACACTCTTGGGGCCTCCTGGGAGCTTCCAGGGAGCCTCTTGGAGGCCTCCTTGGGCCTCCTTGGTGGGCTCCTGGCCGGTCTGACGCCGTCGGAAGCCGTCTTGGGGGCCTCTCTGGGCCAACTTGGGGCCCTCTTGGGGTGCTCCAAGGCCGTCTTGGAGGCCATCTTGGGCGTCTTGGAGGCCTCTTGGGCCGTCTTGGTGCCCTTGGGCCCGTCTTGGGGGCCTCTTGGGCCGTTCTGGGGCCATCCTGTAGGCCTCGTGGGCGATGTTGGGGCGATCTTTGGGGGCTCTTGGGCCGTCTCGGGCCGTCGGCAGGCTGAACAGAAGCAAATGCCAACATCCTTCGAAAACCGATGGGAAATCAATGATTTTGGCTTCTTCGGGCGTTCCTGGAGGCCCTCTTGGCGGCCTCTTGGACCGTCTTGGGCCATCTTAGGGCAATCTTCGGCCGTCTTGGTGGGCTCCTGGCCCGTCTGACGCCGTCGGACGCCGTCTTGGGGGTCTCTATGGGCCAACTTGGGGCGGCCCTCTTGGGGCGCTCCAGGGCCGTTTTGGAGGCTTCCTTGGGCCTCTTGGGGCCGTCTTGGGGGCCTCTTGGGCAGTCCTGAGGCCACTTGGGAGGCCTCTTGGGCGCTTTGGGGACGATCTTGGGGGCCTCTTGGGCCGTCTCGGGCCGTCGAAGGCCGAAAAGGAGCAAGTACGAAAATCCTTCAAAAACAAATGGAAATTCAATGATTTTGGCCTCTTCGGGCCCTCCTGGAGGACCTCTCGGAGACCTCTTGGGCCATCTTGGAGGCCTCTTGGGAGCCTTATGGGCAGTCTTGGGTCGTCTTGGTGGCTTCTTGGGCGGACTTGGAGGCATCTTGGACCCTCTTGGGCCGTCTTAGAGGCCATCTTGGTCCATCTTAGGCGGACTTGGAGGCCATCTTGGGCCATCTTGGCCGTCTTGGAGGCATCTTCGAGTCCATTGCGGGCCATCTTGGGCGTGACGGGCATTGACATGTGCAGTTTCCGGTCCCTTCTGGGTGGCCGGCAGGACGGGCCGGAGCCCCAGGGGAGAGTTCTTATGGAAAAAAACCAGAACCAAAACCGAAAGGGTCTAGCACGCCGGGCACCCCTGTGACAAGCACAGGGGTCGGCGGATCTAGTGATCTGCGGCCCAGCCCGCCACCGTGCTTGGGTACTGGACCAAAGGAAGGCGTCTCATATTCTCGGGGTCTCTTGGGAGGCCCTTTGGAGGAATCTTGGAGGTTTATTTGGCCCCCCCCTTTTTAGGCGCTTCTTGGGGCCGTCTTGCGGGCTTTTTGGGGCCCTCTTAGGGGCTTGGAGGCCGTCTTGGGCGATCTTGAGGGCCTTGTGGGTCTTCTTGGATGCTCTTAAGACCGAGAAGTCGATCGAAGACGCCTACGGCGAATCACTGCCGCCCCCTCCCTGTTGGAATCGCTCATGTGGCCGAGCATTGTGGCAAGAGCGATGCCAAGCTATCGGGCCATGTGTTCCCTGAGTCCTTGTAGAAACCCTTCGGGGAACACTTGGGGGAGGATGGCGGGGCAGAAAAAAAATGAGGAGGAGGAGGAAGAGGATGAGGATGAGGATGAGGATGAGGATGAGGATGAGGATGATAATGAGGATGATGATGATGATGCTGATGATGATGATGATGATGATGATGATGATGATGATGATGCTGCTGCTGCTGCTGCTGATGATGATGATGATGATGATCATGATGATGCTGCTGCTGCTGATGATGATGATGATGATGATGATGATGAGGAGGAGGAGGAGGAGAGGAGGAGGAGGAGGAGGAGGAGGAGGAGGGGGCATCTTGGGAGCCTCTGGGGGCACTCCTGGGGCCTCCTGGGAGCTTTCTGGGAGCCTTTTGGATGCATCTTGGGGCCTCCTTGGGCCTCTTAGGGGCCTTTGGGGGGTTCTCGGGGGCTTCTTTGATCGTCTTAGGGTGTTCCTGGCCCGTCTGACGCCGTCGGAACACGTCTTGGGGACCTCTCTGGGCTGACTTAGGGTGCTCCAGGGCCGTCTTGGAAGCCATCTTGGGTGTCTTCGAGGCCTCTTGGGCCGTCTTGGGGCCCTCCTGGGGCCGTCGTGGGGGCCTCTTGGGCCGTTTTAGGGTCATCTTGGAGGCCTCGTGGGCGATCTTGGGGCGATCTTTGGGGGCTCTTGGGCCGTCTCGGGCCGTCGGTAGGCCGAAAAGAAGCAAATGCCACAATCCTTCAAAACCTACAATGATCATGGCCCATTTGGGCCCTCCTGGAGGACGCCGCCTTGGAGGCCTCTTGGGCACCTCTTGAGCAGTCTTGGGCCGTCTTGATGGCTTCTTGGGCGGACTTGGAGGCATCTTGGACTCTCTTGGGCTGTCTTGGAGGCCATCTTGGACCATCTTGGGCGGATTTGGAGGCTCTATTCGCCATCCTGGAGGCCATATCTTGGGCCGTCTTGGAGGATTCTTGCTGGTTTTGTGGTCCTTTCGGATGGCTGGCGGGACAGGCCAAAGCCCCAGGGGGAGTTCTTTTGGACAAGAACCAAACTCATATGGTAAGAAATCCAGCGCACGGGGTACCCCTGTGATGAATCAACAGGGGGCGGCGGAACTAGTCGCCTTCAGCCCGTCCCGCCATCGTGTCTGGGCCGTAGATCAGGGGCCTCCAGGGTGTCAGTGGGAACCTCTTGGGCTCTTGGAAGCCTCTCGGATGGTTTTGGAGTGTCTTGGGGCCTTTGAGGGGCCTCTTGAGTTCCTCTTGGGGCCTCCTTTGGGTCTGTTGGGGGCCTCTTGGGCCTACTGGCGGTTTCGGGGGTCATCTTGGGGCGGAGGGCTAGACATGTCCCACTAGATTTGTTACATCCTCGGCACAGAGAGCGCGAAGGGACCGGGGGACCTTCCACTCAGTGCCTACGGCGTGGTGCCAGCTAGTTCCACAAGGTTTTCATCGTATTTTTTGGGCGGGGGGGGAGGGTCAGCAGGGTTATGGGGATTTTTGGCGAGCTCTACGAAGGAGTGGGAGCAGGCTTCTTGCTGCCTGCTCCTCCTCCTGCCCCTGTGCGTGATCTTGCCGCTGCGCCCGCTGCTCCCGCTCCCGCTCTCCCGCTGCTCCCGCGCCTCCCCCTGCCCCTGCCCCTGCCACTCCAGCTCCGCCTCCCGCAGGACATGTGACTCGAGCACTCGTGCTCGGGCGTGTCTCTCGATCCGTGAAGCCCTGCTTCCAGCACAGCCACACACTGCCACACACTATATATATCTCCCCCCAGTGGAGCTTCTCATCTCGACCCGGACGCTCAGACGCCATGTCTGGCATCGTGGTGGCCCGCCGCGCTCTGGCCGCAGCCCTGCTGCTGCGCACTGGCGCGGCCATCAAGGTCGTGGATGACCCGGAGGGACGCCGCGACCAGGGGCGACCGCAGACTACTGCTGCGCCGACGGGGGCTCCGACGCCGGCGCCGACGCCCGAGCCGACGCCCGAGCCGACATACGTCAAAGATCTTCCAGGAGTTCCCTGCCAGTGTAACAACCCGTCCTGCTGGGCCAGGTGCTCAGAGGAGGAAGAGATGCCCATACCTCTACCCCTTGCCCGTTTTCCTCCTTTTGGGCCTTTTGGGAGGCCCTTGTCGCCACCGCTGGCTTCGCCCCGAAATGCTGGTCAGAACGCACCCCAGGAGAGGTCCGGGGAGTAGTGGTATCGGTACCTTTTGCTTTCCCCAGGTACGACCTCAACGGCGACGACTGCATCACCCAGGACGAATGCGACCTGCAGGTGCCTCTTTTGGGGAACTGCTCCTCTACTACCTCGTCGCCCGCAACTTACGGGCCGCCAGTGTGGGATCAAGATGGGGACGGCTGCATCAACTTTACCGAGTGGGATATCATCTACACCACTTCGAACGGGGCTTGCTGCCCGGTGGAACCCCCCTCGTATTGCGATGAGTGCCCGGAAGGGTATACAATCGCAGTGAATCCGTGCGAATGCGTGCCGTGCGTGGGTGGCGAGGTGCGCAGGCATCAAGGGGGGAACAGAAGCCCTGACCAGCTCACGTGGGTGCCACTCCTGCTCGTCTTGGGTTCGACTGTGGTTTTCCTGGCCGCTGTCGGAACCTCCACCCCTGCCCCCTGTTTTCTCGTTCTCCCAGATGGAGTCGGAGGACCGTGCCGCATCCCCGATGCACCGCCGATGCGGCTCGATGTGGAGCCCGAGTATCGTCACGCCGACGTCGCCGATGCACCGCCTTGGGTAGTAAACGATGGGAGCCTGGTATACCCTTTTAATTCCGTCTTTAGCGTCGATTAGCGTGGATTAGCGTCTGGGAGTCGGTGAGATAGCGCTGATTTAGCGTCGGTTAGCGTCGATTAGCGTCGACTTAGCGTCGACTAGCGTCGATTCGCAAGCGCGGGCAAGATGATATGGGAGGCTCCCATGAGTTGCCACCGAAACCGCTGACGTCGCCGATGATGCGGCGCGATCCTCCGACCCCATCTACTCGGACCCCATATGGGAGGCCTCTATGTGTCCATTTCGGTCTGGTCAGGACTGTGTGTTGTCCCAAGGCGCCGCTCTCTCGAGTGCACCCCCTGCCCGTCTCCCTTCATCGACAAGGGCGACTTCGACGACTGCAAGGACCCCGTCACACCTTACCCCGACAACGCCCCGAACAACTCGTTGAACATCACCGTGGCTGTCCCGTATCAGACGTGCACAGAGTTCTCTATTGGCGACACCATAACCATCTCTGGAACAGAAGGGGGTGACCCGAATCTTCCTATCTCGCATACGACACTGGTCATGGGGGTCGATAAAATTACGGGGGGATACGAGCTTGAACTAGCTGACCCGCTTCCAGGAAACTTTGCGTATGACGCGACAGTTCGGCAGACGTGCTCTTCCACTGATGGGTCTCAGGTGAGCGCCAGCTTTTCTCCCTCTTCCGATGGCTGCTGCTGCGCATGTGGTTCTAACCCGGAGGACTGTTGCGAGACAACTGAGGTGTGCACTGTGTACCCCAACGGCACTGGTGTGTGCTCCAATGCTGGCCCGTACCCCGAGTTCTCGACTCCAGCCCCGACAGTCGGGGCCAAGGGTGACCCGCATCTGGTCAACCTGCAGGGAGAACACTTTGACATCAACCACGACGGCAAGTTCACACTGCTTCGCTTTCCCCAGGCTATGGAGAAGCCAGCCGAGTTCACTTTCGTGGCGAACATTCAGCCGGACGCCGGGAAGCCGTGCACCACGTACATCACGGAGGCGGAGGTCTCGGGCGCCTGGCTCGGCAGCAAGATCCTGCAGGTCCGCAGCTACCGCAAGGCCCACTCGAACGAGACCGCCGACGCATTCCTGGGTGCCCGGCTCATCGTGGACGACGACGAGCCCGACCCCCCTTGGCAGACCATCGAGGAGTTCGACACGACGAATCTGGAGCTGTCCGAGTTTGGAGTCGTCCAGTCGTTCCTGGAGAAGGCGACGTGGTTCCCCAAGAAGCGCTCCAAGGTGGGGCCGACCGCGGCGGGAATGTTCACCCTCTCCCTGAAGAACATGCACAGCGGGACTGCCGCCAAGATCACTATCCGCCAGGACCTGCCCGAGCTGATGATGATGGTGATGGTGATGATGATGATCATGATGAGGATGAGGATGCTCATGATGATGCTGCTGATGATGCCGATGATGATGATGACGATGATGATGATGACGATGATGATGATGATGATCATGATGATGATTATGCTGCTGATGATGATGGGGATGATGAGGATGCTGATGCTGATGCTGATGCTGATGATGGTATGATGCTGCTGCTGATGATGCTCATGATGATGATGATGCTGCTGATGATGATGATGATGATGATGTTGATGCCGATGCTGATTTTGATGATGATGATGATGATGTTGGATGATTTGATGATGTTGATGCTGCTGCTGTTGATGATGCTGCTGATAGTGCTGATGATGTTGATGATTCTGCCGACGATGATGAGGATGATGATGATGCTGATACTGATGCTGATGATGTGGATGATGCTGATGATGATGCTCATGATGATGATGATGAGGAGGAAGATGAGGATGAGGGTGAGGATGAGCATGAGGATTATGATGACAGTGATGATGTTGCTGCTGATTGATAATGAGGAGGTTCGATGATTTGATGGTGGCGCTGCTGCTGATGATGATGCTGCTGATGATGATGATGATGTTGTTGATGATGATGATGATGCAGCTGATGATGCTGCTGCTGCTGATGCTGATGATGCTCAAGCCATTTTGGCTCAAGCGCTCAAGCGCTCAAGCTATCAAGCTATCGATCCCCACATCTCACATACACCTCCGATACCCGATCCACAATCTCTCCTAAGCTTGTTGCACCTTTTTGGCCAGGCATGGCAGATAACGGCAAGCGTGCCGGCTGCCATACTGGGTCGACACCAAGTAAACAGAAGAAGAGGAGGAGGAGGAGGACGAAGGAATGGATGAGGCGGCCAAGGAATCGAATAAGGAGATCGTGATTGCAGGCGTTCCTCCAAAATGGTTCCAAGACTTCGATGCCCGCATGTCGAGGCAGATTGATGGTACCACTACGGACCTGAACGGAATCAATGGCATGATCGACCAGGCGAGGATCGAGGCACAGGACGCGAGGAGGGCAGCAGCGGAGGTTCAAGAAAAGAGGACATGGATTTGGAGGTGGCGGGTATCAGGAAAGACCTTGAGGAGATGTACCTGACCACAGGCCAAGTCGAGCAGATCATCGACAGCAAGATGCAGGACTTCGAGAAGAATAAGGGCAAGCTTGGCACCGACCCGAACATCCTCCAGAGCGCAAAGGATAACAAGAACAGGGCTAAACAGGTGGTAGCACTAGGATTCAAATAACCACTACCTGCAGAAGATTTGATCAAAAAGCTGGATGGGTTCCTATCACAGATCTTGGGAGATACCGGCAGCCTGAACGTGAGCACCTTTACATCACCTGCCAAGATGGGCATGATCACCTTCCCCACCATACCTGACACGGTGCAGTTTTACAAGAAGGTTCAGAACATCGGGAAGGCGCCGTCTTCGGAAGGAGTCTTTTTCAAGAACAACCAGACGAAGGAAGAGGAGATCGACGATAAACGGCCAGGGTCTACGAAATACCGTTTGAAACAAAAGCCCACGCATGAACACGAAAATATCATTGTACTTTGGGCTAAAAGGATGGTTACCCTGAACGGTAAGAAAGTGGCCTGGTATGACAAAAACGGAGAATGGCGAACGACGAATTTGGGTAAATCAGTCGAGCACGATGTCGATGATTCCTTGACAAGTTTTCGTGCCCAAATCAACCCGGACCCCGATACAGACAGCGACCTATAAAATAGAAGGCTCCGACAGACCATTTTATACAGGCGGTTCGTGAATGATGCACATTTGTTTGCGGTATCCTCCCATTTTTCAGGACTCTCCCCGCCCAGCGTGCTGGCAGGACACGACGGGCAGCTACCAACACCAGCACGACATCAACAAGGACATGTTTCACCAATTCCAGTAGCGACCTCTGACTCCAACACCTCTATACTCATCTCTCCCCATCCCCCCCCAGTAAGTTTCACACAACCGCGGCGGAAGACGACGGACCTACAGCAGAATTTGCGGAGATGTGCCAGCGTGTATCCTGCGCCATGGGTGTGGCAGCGCATATCAACACCGTGCGACGATTTCTCCGGCTCCAGCCTCTCCGACTCCGGCTCGGCCTTCTGGCTCGCAGCCTCCAGTATTTGACGATCAGGTTTCGCTTCGGACTATCGACCATCTGCCTTCACCGGCTCCTCACTCTGACCTACAACCTCCAATGTCCGACGCCTTTTCGACCTCCACCTATCGACCTCCGACCTCAAAGCTCCGACCCCCAACGCTCACCACCGTCCACCTCCAGCTTTCGACCTCCACCCACCGAGTCGCAAGTTTTACCAGTCGATGTCCAACCATCAGCATCCGACTCCAAGCACGTAGCACCTCTCACCTCCAGCCTTCGACCTCCGCCCGCCGACTCGCAAGTTCACCAGTCGCCCTCCAACCGCCAGCGATCGACTCCCAGCACCTAGTACCGCGCACCTCCAGCCTTCGACCTCTAGCCGCCGACTCGCAAGTCCAACCAGTCGACTTCCACCGCCAGCGTCCGACTCCCAGCACCTAGTACCACGCACCCCCAGCCTTCGACCTCCGCCTACCGACTCGCAAGTTCAACCAGTCGACTTCCAACCGCCAGCGTCCGACTCCCAGCACCTAGCACCTTCCACTTCAAGCCTTCGACCTCCACCTTCTGACTCCCGACCTCCCCCGAGCGACCTGCAACCGCGAAGTTCCGACTCCCAGCTTCCACCTTCATGCGCCTCCAGCTCTCGACCTCCGCCCGCCGACTCCCACCCTTAACCAGTCGACCTCCAACTGCCAGATTCCGACACTCAGCGCCCGCGGGCATCCACCTCCAGCCCTCGACCTCCGCCCTTTGACTCCCAACCTCCACCGAGCGACCTCCAACCGCGAAGTTCCGACTCCCAGCACCCATCAGCGTCCACCTCTAACCGTCGACCCTCAACCGGGCATCTCCCCCTCAGGTTCTCTACTCCAGCGCGGGCGCGGCGCCGGAGACCATTTTTACACCGTGCCATAAAAATGTTCGCGAACTTATTTCAGGAGAGCGCGTGGAGGAACTTTTGCAAGAGCTCCAGCATATATGCTGGGACCTCCTAACAATCAATGAGTCCCGGAGCAAGGGGAAATAATAATACTGGTCCACAGCAGACGGACACATGTTTCTAGGATTTGGATGCGATGGGTCACATGGCGGAGTCGCCATTATAGTGCACAAGCGGTGGGCCCACTATCCGATGTTTTCAACCAATCAACGACGGGGTATGTTACGTGGATGTGGTTTCTTTGGATTTGCGGTTGCGCATCGTATCAGCTTATTTTCCACGCAGCGGGTGCAGCGATAAAAGCACCCAGACAATGCGCAACAGCCTCGCAGAAACCCACCAGCATGCCAGAACGAAGGAATTATCATACGTCGTTGGTGCAGACTGCAACGCGCAGGTGGGGCAGCGAGCTCCGGAAGACGACTGGCGCATTCTGGACCAGTGTGGATTCGGTAGCGTGAATGTGCGAGGTCAGTGGCAAAAAGCTTGGGCGGCCAAAGAGAAGCTCCGCATCATGAACGCGTTCTTCCATGAACTCGCGCGCAACTTGACTACGTGCACATCGCCCCAAAAGCAACAACATCAGATCGACTTCATCTTGGCCAGCAAACACGTATGGAGAGCAGCCACCCATTGCGAGGCGACTGCAGACATCGATCTTGGATCGGACCACAAAGCATTGTGATTCATGTTCCGAGTATCTGGACAGCAACGACAACGCAGGCCACGACCGGGGAGCACACCGCACTTGCATGGACAGAGGGCGAAACGACGAACCGACCGTCCCACGTGGTTACCCGACGAGATCCCTACCCACCAGGAGTCTCGCAGAACGACTGGACGCACTGCTGCTCGACGCCCAGCTCCAGCTCAACTGCGAAAGCATCGAAACCGCCATAGCTGGACAATTATCGGGACACTCCCAGAGCAACAGCACCACCGAGTACACCACGACACCAACGACAAGGATCGGCTCACTTGCACAACTACTGCAAAGCAGACGGGACACAGCGACCACCGACACTACAGCACGAGCACACCTCAACAATAAAATCCGCAAAGGAATCAGAGCTGTCAAACGAGCCACTCGCAGAGCCGCAATCGACCGACTCCTCACTCGACACCAGGACCTCGAAGAAATCAGCGGCATTAAGAGTTCCAAAAAACGTGACATGATCCCGGGATGGTCGACGTTGAAGGTCACGCGCAACGCGACAGGCAGACCGTAGCAGACGTATTCGCTAAATGTTATGCGGATTTCTACCGGGACGCGCAGAAGGGCACCCAGCAACGCCACGGGCAGGAAGAAACTGAACATATCCCCCCTTCACGAACACCGAACTATCTGTCGTATTTCGTCAGTTGAAGACAAACCAGGCACCAGATACCAACGGCATATTGGCAGATATGCTAAAGGTAGAAGGGGACGCACTCAAGAGAGTCATGCTACACACGTTCAGCCACATGCTACGTCCTGATTCGCCCATGCCCGCCAGCTGGAAGCACACTGTCATCAAATTATTACACAAAAGCGCTGACCCGACGATCCCGATGCTCCACAAACTCTTCTCCAAGCTCTTGTCCAGCCTTTTGTGTGTTCAGCCAGACTGTCAGCAGAGCCCAGACCAAGCTGGCTTCCGACCCAACAGGAGCACAACCGACCATTTATTCACAGCGGCTGTTCTGATCGAGATATCGGACGACTGGCAAATGCCTTTCTGGATGGCGGCAATCGGCTTCAGGGGGGCATTTGACAGCGTCACGCACGAGGCCATATGGAAAGCCTTACAAGACCAGCAGGTACCAGCTGCATATATAACCCTGCTCGGGAAGTTATGCACCAACAGACGGCCTCAATCAAGACCGACCGCTTCAGCAAGGAAGTCAACATTGAACGTGGAACAAAGCAGGGGTATCCATTAAGTTCGCTACTCTTCAACTGCGTTTCCAGAGTATATTATGAGACGGGTGAAGAAGAAATGGATTGCCGAGCGACGCGGGATCCCACTACTCCCCATCAGCGACGACATGCTGAACAACTTGCGATTTGCCGACGACATGCTCCTCATCGTGCGACCAAACAACGACGTTGCAAGTGTGCTTTCCGACATCATCGCCGAAGCGGCAGACGCTGGGCTACTACTGCGCCCAGACAAAACGAACATCTTGCATCACTGGCACAGCCTAAAGCCGACGCAACAACCGCAGACCCACGTTTTCGTCCATGACATTAAAATAGAACTGCTCCCACGTTACCGAGCCACAAAGTATTTGGGGCGCAAGCTTCAATGCAGCGACAGCCACAACGTGGAAGTGGAGAACCGGACTGCTTCGGCATGGATGAAATTGTATCTGCTCGAGCAGCAATTAGTTGGAACACATTACTCACTAAACAACCGTATCCGGCTTTTCCACGGGACAATTACTCACACTGTGCTGAATGGATGTGAGGCATGGACGATGACAAAGGATCTCGAGAATTGGATGCGAAGGACTCTGCGACAAATGCTCCGGATGATTGTCAAGACACTTCGACGAAGGCTAGCAGGCAGCCGCGAGCCAGAGTACGAACAGGACGACGCCAGCGGCAACAACGCCAGCGACGGGGACAATTCCGGCACCGACAGCGGGGTAGATATTGACAGTAGGCCATCATCCGTACAACCAGCAGCAGACGACCTTGAGGATGCCGACCCGCTCGAGCCTCGGCCAGACTGGATCAAGCGAGCAATTCTGCATGCGAAAGCCACGATATCAAAACTTGGTATTAATGACTGGACCACAACAATCAAACAACGCAAATGGGAATGGGTACAGACGGTTGCCACCAGCACTACAAAAGAGTGGGCACGATCGGTTTTGCAATGGGAACCCGGGCGCGATGTGCACTGACAGCCACATCGACGAGCTGGCCGTCCCAAAACAAGGTGGTGGGACGATTTTGCGACGTTGCACACAGCAGTGCGTGCCAGAAACACCACACACGGTCACAGGTTTGCTACAATTTGCAACCACGGATACTTGGGACAATGTTAAACCAGGGTACATCGTGCAATGAGAGCCAGTGCGTCGTAATCCATTGTTTATGTTCCACTGTTGTATTTTCTTCACACATTGATTGATTGTCCTCTCTCCGTCCTTTGTGTGTGTGTGTGTGTCTCTCTCTCTCTCTCTCTCGTTCTCCTGTGCCTTGCGTCACGCCATCCATTTTTACCCATAGCGGCGCCCCGGCGCCCCTTTGCTATGCCCCCGCGGCACTTCGACTGCAGGCCGAATGTCCGAGTGTCCGATGATGATGATGATGACGATGATGATGATGATGATGATGATGATGATGATGATGATGATGATGATGGTGCTGCTGCCGATGATGATGGTGGTGATGATGATGGTGATGAAGATGAGGACGAGGATGCTCATGGTGTTCATGCTGATGCTGGTGATGATGAGGATGCTGACGGTGATGGTGATGGTGGTGATGATGATGAAGATGATGACGACCATCCGCCAGGACCTGCCCGAGCAGGAACACCTGAACGTGGCGGTGCGGCAGCTGTCCCAGCTTGGCCGCGTGGACGTTGGCGGCCTCCTCGGCTTCGACGCGCACCCGGAGAGCCTCGAGCGCCCGAGCGCCGCGTGCGTCCACCACAGGGCCACGGCGCGCTACCGCATCGAGAGCCAGGACGACGCGGAGCACGGCTACTACTTCCGTCCGACGTGGAAGGACCGCTGGGACAAGGTCCTCGCGGGGAGACTTTGCAACGCAGATGCTTGATGCTTCTTCTAGGGACTTTCCCTGACGCCCACCGAACGCATTCGTTCGGTTCTGGGTCGGCTTCAGCTCGACTCCAGCTCGATTCGAGCTCGATCCAGGTCCGACTCAAGTCGACAGACGTCCGACGCAGCATCGATGCATGGGTGGGGCGAGTTGCTCAAGGAAGGTCTCCAGAACGAGCATCTAACAGATGTCAGAGCGAGGGATCCGAGCCGTCTTGCGCTGTGCTGTGCCCCTGGGTGCGTTGCCTGAGGTTGGTCCGCTGTGCCGATTCTGCTTGCGGTTGTCATCGATTCTGCAGGCCGGGAGCCGCGGCGGACTGAATCCTAGGGCCTAGGGTGGAACTGGCACGCCGACTGTTCAATCAGGAAGTGTTTGGGGGACAGGGCTTTGACGAAGGAACAGTTTGTGTCGGGGTCAGCTTAGCGTCCCTTGGGCGGTCTTGGGAGCCCCCCGAGGGCCCCGATGGCCTCAGCCGTCCCTGCGCTGGCCAGGTGACGGAGATCGCCCTTTACGTTCTGCGTGACGCGTGAATTGAGCGAGACGTCCCATTGCAGATCGGGGGTCACGGCGGTCTCCCAGAGGAGCAACGAGCACGCAAATCTCGCAACCAGTCAGGGCGCAAAGGTATGGAGTGAGCAGGAGGAGGAAAACCCTGATCGAGTGTTGATGTCCACGTCGTTCTGCTAGTGGAAGGTATGGATGGGGAGGAGGAGGAGGCGGAGGAGGAGAACTCTTGGCAATCCAAGCGCGTCGCCGAGGCATCGGTGTCATTGCGGTGTCTTGCGGCTGTCTTGGGGCCTTTTCGGGGCTTTCCGAGGGATCTCGTGGGCTCACTGGGCCTTCCTGAGTGCCTCGTGGGGCCATCTTGAGACTTCCTTTGCCTGTCTGGGGTTCCTCTTGGGCCTTGTGGAGCCTCTTCGGGGGTCCTCTTCGGGCGTCTTGGTATTCTCGTGGGGTGTCCTGTGGCCCTCTTGGGCCGTCCTGGCGCACGGTACGCCGTCTTGGGGAGCTCTCGGCAGTTTCTTGGGCCGTCCTGTATGCTTTGGCCAACAACGGGCGAGACTGTGCCCAACGTGTGCAACCTAATACGGATAGGCGTTCTTTTCCCATGGAGCCTCTTGGGGCACTCTGTGGCCGTCTTGAGAGTCCCTGTTGTCGTCTTCGAGCAACCTTCGGCCTGCCATGGCCGTCTTCGGAGTCTTCTGTCGGCGTCTCGGAGGAGCCTTTCGTGAACCGTCCTGCGCAATCTTGAGCCACAGTGAGTCATCTTGCCGCCGCCTTGGGGGATTGTGGTGGTGCACCACCAGGACCCAAGAGGACCAGCCACGGGGGCACGATCGGTGGGCCGTATGAGCAGAGGTGGCAGGACTGCGCGAGGCCGCACATTCGCTTCTTACCATAGTCTACTCTGCAATCCTGCAACCTTCACTGCTCTCGTTCTCTATCACGGCTTGCTCTGAGCTTCGCTCGCAAGCTGGGGGGCCTGTTGTGTTGACGCCTCGCGTATCCTCACCCGCCGATCCAGAAACGATTCCCAGGTGAGTTGTCGCGGGAAGGGGTCGTGGGGTGTGGGGTGTGTGTGGGGGTGAATCAGTGAAACCAAGAGAGGGGGCATCATTCAAGCCGAAGCCGGGGTGGGCCAGAGCAGCCCCCCCCAAAGGGTCAGCCTGAGCAGCCCCCAGCAGTGGCCAGCCTGGAGATCTCTGGGAGCCCCGCGGGAGGCCTCTTGGAGCCGTCTCGGAGCTCTCTCGGGGCCTTTGATGCGAGCCTTCCCTCTTGATGCCCTCGTGGGACGCTGTCGGGGCCTTGGCATGCCGTGCCTGGGAGATGCCTAACAATTTCGCGCGAGCCCAGGAAGCGCTGCCCACGAGCTTACCAGGCCATGCCTGGACGTTGCTCAGGAGCTCCGCGCGAGCCCAGGAAGCACAGCCTAGTAGCTGCGCAAACGCTTCAGCGCAAGCAGTGGCACCGCCTAGGAAACGCTCATGTGAGCCTTCGAGGTCCTCTTTGGCTCTCTTCTGGGCCCCTCTCGGGGCTCTCTCGAGTCATCTTGTATCATCGTGAGGCCTCGAAGGCCCGCCTGCATCGAACAGGCGCTGCTCTGGCCAGCTTTTTTATGCCCCTGATCGGATGGACTGGCAACTTGTTGCCCACGGCCCTCCCATGTTGCGTACGCCTGCTGGCGTGCACGTGGCGCATGCTTTACGAGCTTCTCAAGGGACGCTGGCCAGTCTACTCCCGTTGAACCGATTATTCGTTTCGCCCCGAAGGTAGTCTGGGCGGCGCGAGCAAGGGGGCGGAGCGAGGCAGGCGGCTCTCCAAGAAGGCCCTCCGCCTCTTTCCAGAAGGCCCCGCGTGCTAAGAGCCCTCTTTTGAAGCCTCTGAGCAGTTGGGGATTCCTTCTCTGAGCCCCCTCGCCTTCTTGAAGGCCGCCCCCCCCTGCGCGCGCCACCGAAGGGCAGCCTAGGCCCCCCCTCTTCCGCAACCGCGCCGTCCAGCCTCTGCACCCGCCAGCCCGGGCCCCCGCAGGTCCGCGGCAAGGACGGCCCGAGGGATAATGAGGCGTCCGCCAGCCTCATTGGGGCCAGGCTCGGCGGCGGGATGTGCAAGTGCTCGAGCGACGACAGCAACGGCGGCAGCATCGACGGCGTGCTCGTCGAGGAGTCCTCCTCTTCCTCCCCCCCGCTAATCCTCCTGCCGCTTCTGCCCGCCCCACCCGCGCCCCCATTCGCCGCGCCGGCGCCGCTCGCGGCCTCCTCCTGGTCGTCATGCTGCTGCCGCTCCTCCTCCTCCTCCTCCTCCTCTCTCCTCCTCCTCCTCCTCCTCCTCCTCCTCTCTCCTCCTCCTCCTCCTCCTCCTCCTCCTCCTCCTCCTCGTCCTCCTCCTCCTCCTGCTCCTCCTCGTCCTCGTCCTCGTCCGCGTCCTCCTCCTCCTCCTCGTCCTCGTCCTCCTCCTGCTCCTCCTCCTCCTTCTCCTCCTCCTGCCGTTGGCCGCGCCGCCCGCTGCGTGGGGGGAGGGCGCGCCCGCGCGGCGCGGCGGGCACTAGTGCCGCGCGCCGCACGACGGGGCCGAGGCCCGGCCTCGTACTGGAGGAGGAGGAGGAATAGGAGGAGGAGGAGGAGGCGGAGGAGGAGGAGGAGGAGGGGGAGGAGGAGAGGAGGAGGAGAGGAGGAGGAGGAGGAGGAGGAGGAGGAGGAGGAGAGGGAGGAGGAGGAGGAGGAGGAGGAGGAGGAGGAGGAGGAGGAGGAGGAGGAGGAGGAGGAGGAGGAGGAGGAGGAGAAGGTGGAGGAGGAGGAGGAGGAGCGAGGAGCGAGGAGCGAGGAGCGAGGAGCGAGGAGCGAGGAGCGAGGAGCGAGGAGGAGGAGGATGAGGAGGAGGATGAGGAGGAGGAGGAGAAGGAGGAGGAGGAGGAGGAGGAGGAAAAGGAAGATGAGGAGGAGGAGGAGGACCAGTGGAAACCCAAGAGTCATCAACGAAGTTGGAATAAACCCTCCCTCCACGCTCCCTCTTTATATGCCCCATACAACTGTTCATCTCCACTGAGGGAAAAGCCTCGTTGGAAGACAACCGTTTGAAGACCCTGGAGCATGCCAAAACATTGTTCTCGGGATTCCAGCGCCACCCATCAACCTTATTGTTGCGTCTTGACGATCTTGAATCGTGCCAGAGCACCTTGTCTGAGACGTCAACACCGCGAATCAGCGTACCTGTTGCACCCTCATAATCCGGAATCCTTCCAAAAAGCAACTTCTGCATTGCTGATCATGGGAATCCGTGAAACTCTTGCAAATGTTGAAACCGAATGTGCGCGGCGCTTTGGCGAGAGCTACATTTTGAAAACCACCCGCCCTCAACCCGTGAAGCTCTTGTACATGTTTACAACGAATGTGCATGGCGCTAAGGCGAGAGTCACATTCTGAAGACCACCCGCCCTCAACCCGTGAAATTCTTGCAAATGTTGAAACCGAATGTGCGCGGCGCTAAGGCGAGTGCCACATTTTGAAGAGAAGCCGCACTCCATCTGTGAAACGTTGCCAGTTTTCAAAACGAGTGTGCGCGGCGCTGAGGCGAGAGCCACATGTTGAAAACCACCCGCCCTCAATTCGTGGAACTCTTGCAGTGTTTTAGAGCGCATGTGCGCGGCGCTGAAGCGAGAGCCACATGTTGCAAATCACCCGCCTTCCATGTGTGAAGCTGTTGTCAATGTTTACGCTTCAGGGTCATAAGTCATACATGGTGAGGAAGTCTCACGCGAAACGCCCGGCCCGCCCTAAACACTTGCCTTGGGGTGCGACAGGAATAAGTTACTTATAAGGAAAAGGAGGAGGAAGAGGAGGAGGAGGAGAAGGAGGAGGATGAGGAGGAGGAATAGGAGGAGGAGGAGGAGGAGGAGGAGGAGGAGGAGGAGGAGGAGGAGAGGAGGAGGAGGGGAGGAGGAGGAGGAGGAGGAGGAGGAGGAGGAGGAGAGGAGGAGGAGGAGGAGGAGGAGGAGGAGGAGGAGGAGGAGGAGGAGGAGGAGAGGAGCGAGGAGCGAGGAGCGAGCGAGGAGTGGGAGGGAGGGGCGAGGAGCGAGGAGCGAGGAGCGAGGAGCGAGGACGAGGAGGAGGAGGAGGAGGAAGGAGGAGGAGGAGGAGGAGGAGGAGAGGAGGAGGAGGAGGAGGAGGAGGAGGAGGAGGAGGAGGAGGAGGAGGAGGAGGAGGAGGAGGAGGAGGAGCGAGGAGCGAGGAGCGAGGAGCGAGGAGGAGGAGGAGGAGGAGGAGGGAGGAGGAGGAGGAGGAGGAGGAGGAGGAGGAGGAAGATGAGGAGGAGGGGAGGAGGAGGAGGAGGATGAGGAGGAGGAGGAGGAGGAGGCGGAGGAGGAGGAGAGGAGGAGGGAGGAGGAGGAGGAGGAGGAGAGAGGAGGAGGAGGAGGAGGAGGAGGAGGGAGGAGGAGGACGAGGAGGAGGAGGAGGAAGAGGAGGAGGAGGAGGAGGAGGAGGGGAAGGAGGAGGAGGGGGAGGAGGAGGAGGAGGAGGAGGGGGCCCGGTACGAGGCCGAGGCCGGGTCTCGTACTGGGCCCCTTGTTTAGACTGGCCACGCGCAGAGGGTGTTGGTGGGAGGGGGGAAGGCTTCTTAGAAGCACCCCTGCTTCTGAGAAGGCGCGGGCCTTGTCTGTAGATGTGTGGCCCGCGAGCAGTGTCCTTCCAAGAAGCCTTCCCCCTTTCCCCTACCCCCCCTCTGCGCGCGGTCAATTAGAGCCGACCGTGGGGCGCAACGGGCAGATTGCCAGGCAGGGCAGATTGCCAGGCAGACCCAGGCGAGAAGGAGCTGCAGCGACGCGAGCGCGCGCGTGGCTCGCGCTCGCGCTGGGCGAGTGAGGGCGGACACTGGGCGTGAGCGCAACTCCGATGCAGACCAGTGCAGGGGCGGTTCACGTCGGATCGACCTGCGGGCCACCGTGCACCCGAGAACAGCTGCGCGCGCGAGGCGCCTGCGCGGGTGACCAGCCGGCAATCAGAAATGGCTCGCAACCGTCTTGTGCCGCCCGTCCGACCTGGTGGCCTGCTCAGGCAGCGCGCTCACCGTCGCTGTTCTCGCCGCATCTGCTCGGCGGCGTGCGCCACTTGGGGTGGGGCGAGGGGAATGGCCTTCCAAGAAGGTGGGGGCGGGGGGCTCGCCCCAAGCCCTCGCGCCTTCCAGGAGGCCCTCTCGGGCGCCTGCGAGATTTGGGGGGAGGCCCTCTCGGGCGCCTGCGAGATTTGGGGTGGGGCGAGGGGAGCGGCCTTCCAAGACGGCAGGGGGCTCATCGCAAGCCTTCGCGCCTTCCACCGTCACTCTCTCTGGGGGGCGGCCCGAGGGCCTTCTACAACCCCCCCCCCCCCCCCCCCTTCCTCCTCGGCATGCCGCCCCCCTCGTCCCACCCGGTCTGTGCGCTTCGCCAGGACGTGGTGGCGGCTTCCCTGCCCGAGCTCCGACGGGGGCGGTGGGGCTCACCGTGCGCGGCAGGTGCCGCCCCAGAGGGCTGGGGCTCTCTCTTGGTCGGCTGTGGGCTCGCAGACGGCCTCGCCTGGCCGTGGTGTGGTTGCCGCGGAGGGCAGCAGCGCAGCTGCCGCGCACGTCCCTGCGCTGGCAGTGGGCGACGCCCGAGCCTCGCGACACCCCACAACCCATCCAGGCGCCGAAGGGGGCGCACTTCCCACAAGGCTCCCTCCTCCTCCTCCTCCTCCTCCTCCTCCTCTTCCTCCTCCTCCTCCTCCTCCTCCTCCTCCTCCTCGGTCGGTCCGTCGGTCGGTCGGTCGGCAGGCAGGAAGGTCGGCGCCTATGCAGGAAGATGGTGAGACGGAGCAGGATGAAGACGGCGACGAGGGACCCCCAACCTTCCCAAATCGAGGAAGCAAGCCCGTGCCCGAGCACCCCCCCAGGAGGGGGACGCAAGGGACGAAGACAGAAGCAACGAATCCAGGAGGCCGCAGCGGCGGGAGCATGAGCACGGGACTCGCCAGCCCAGTCGTGGACCTTCGATCCGAGCCCAGCAGCTGCATTGTCGCATCTGGCCTGCGCCGCCCTCTGGCAGCCAGCGCGTCTCACCGGTCCCTTGGTTGACGAAGTGCGGACGGCATGCCAGTCGCCATCTCCTGGCTTGGCGGAGGCGGCGGGGCAGCTGTCAGGCTGCGGAGAGCTTGGAGCTGGTGTGCCAGGTCCAGCAGGGCGGGCGCCTCCACGATGCCACCAGGCGCGGGCTCCTGGCCATGGTGCTCGTCGGCGGAGCCACTCCCAGCCTGCTCGGGATCGGCGGGCCGAGCAGGAGCCCGGGTGCGCGGCGCTCTTCGGCGAGCTCTGGCGCGATCGAGACCCGCCAATTCCTGCTCTGGCAGTCCGGCAGCCTGGCAGTGGCAGCCCTCGGTCGCCGTGGGGTGGGGGCATTTTTTCGTCGGCGGCGAGGCGGAGGCGATCCGCGCCAGCGTC